TTGTTTAAACACCTGTTTTCACTTCTTTTGGGTCTATAACATACACCGGCTGAGTCATATGGAAACTTTGTATGTAACTTGAGGAACTGCTGAACTTTGCCCCACAGCGACCACACCATTTCACACGCCCACCAGCAGCGAGCTTTCCTCGTCCTTACATTTATTTTTATTTTTTATTATCGCCATCTTAATGGGTAGGAAATGGTATCTTATTGTGGTTTTGATTTGCATTTCCCCGGTGACTAAAGGTGTTGAGCATCTTTTCAAGCGCTTCTTGGTCGTTTGTGTATTTTTTTTTTTTTTTTTTTAAGACAAAAGTCTTGCTCTGTTGCCCAGGCTGGAGTGCAGTGGTGCAATCTCAGCTCACTGCAACCTCCACCTCCCAGGTTCAAGTGATTCTCACACCTCAGCCTCGAGAGTAGCTGGGATTATGGGTGCCCGCCACCACACCCGGCTAATTTTTGCATTTTTAGTAGAAAGGGGGTTTCACCATGTTGGTCAGGCTGGTCTCCAACACCTGACTTCCAGTGATGCTTCTGCCTTGGCCTCCTAAAGTGCTGGGATTACCGGCGTGAGCCACCGCACCCGGCCAAATGTGTATCTTCTTTGAAGAAATGTCTTTTCAAGTCCTTTGCCCATTTTTATTCTTTATTTTATTTTGAGACAGGGTCTCACTTTGTTGGCCAGTCTGCAGTGTATTGGCTGAATCACAGCTCACTGCAGCCTCAGCCTCCTGGGCTTGAATGATCCTCCTACCTCAGACTCCCAAGTAGCTGGGACTGCAGGCTCACACCACACCACACACAGCTACTGTTTGTATTTTCAGCAGAGACGGGGTTTCACCATGTTGGCCAGGCTGCTCGAATTCCTGACCTCAGGTGATCTGCCCACTTTGGCCTACCACAGTGCTGGGATTGCAGGCGGCAGCCACCGCCCGGCCTGTTTTTACAGGATCTTCTATACATAAAATCTGCAAGTAGAAACAGTTGTCTTTTCCAATTTTGGATACCTTTAATTTCTTTTTCTTGACAAGTGCTCTGGCTATCTTCTCCAGAACAGTATCAAATGGAAGCAGCAGCAGTGGGCATCCCTGTCTCTCTCCTGATCTTAGGGAAAGGCTTTCAGTTCCTCACCATTGAATAGGATGTTAGCTGTGTTTCTGTGCTTGTTTTTTTGAGACAGAGTCTTCCTCTGTGTACAGTCTCGGCTCACTGCAACCTCCACCTCCTGGATTCAAGTAATTCTCGTGTCTCAGCCTCCTGAGAAGCTGGGGCTACAGGCGTGCACCCCACACCCAGCTAATTTTAATTTTTCTTTTTTAGAGATGAGGTTTTAACATATTGGCAGGCTGGTCTTGAACTCTTGCCCTCAAGTGATCTGCCTGCCTCGGCCTCCCAAACTGCTGGGATTACACATGTAAGCCACTGTGCCCGGCCAGTGAAGTTCGTTCCTATTGCTAGTTTATTGGGTCTTCTTATCATGAAAGGGTTTTGAATTTTATCAAATGTTTTTTTGTGCATCAATTGAGATGATCACGTGGGTTTTTCTTCATTCCATTAATGTGGTGTATAACATTGAATTTCATCTATTGAGTCACCCTTGCATTCCTGGGATAAATCCCACTGGGTTATGATGTGTAATCCTTTCAAAATGCTGCTTTTCTGGCAGGCAGCACTTTAAAAGGGATTGTGTTTGCTCATACTTTGTTGAGACTTTTTGCATCTATATTCATAAAGGACAGTCATCTGGAATTTTCATTTTGTAATATCATTACTGTTGAGTTTTGAAAGTTATTCATATTTTTTGTATACAAGCCATTTGCTGGATATACGATTTGCTATTTTCTTTTTTAAAATTTTTTGTGTCTATTTTTATTAATTAATCATTATTATTTTAAGATGGAGTCTCACTCTGTTGCCCAGGCTGGAGTGCAGTGGTGCAATCTCGGCTCACTGCAACCTCTGCTTCTCGGCGGGTTCAAGTGATTCTCCTGCCCCAGCCTCCTGGGCAGCTGGGATTACAGGCATGCACCATCACACCCAGCTAATTTTTGTATTTTTAGTAAAGACGGAGTTTCACCATGTTGGTCAGGCTGGTCTCGATCTCCTAACCTCTTGATCCGCCTTCCTCGGCCTCCCAAAGTGCTGAGATTACAGGCGTGAGCCACCGCGCCCGGCCCGGATTGCTATGTTCTTCCACTCTGCAGCTGGAAGTCTTTAATTTTGATGAAGTCCACTTTATCTATTTTTTCATTTGCAGATTGTGTGCTCTTAACGTCATGTCTAAAAGCGTGTTGCGTAATCACAGGTTTCAAAGTTTTTTTCCCACCTTTTCTTCTAAAATGTTTATAGTTTTAGGTTTGACACTTAAATCTATGATTCATTTTGAGTTAGTTTTTATATGAAGTGTTGGCTTTAGATCAGGGTTTGTGCGTGTGTGTGTGTGTGTGTGTGTGTGTGGCTGTTTTCCTTTTTCTTAAGAGACAGGGTGGAGTGCACCCAGGCTGGAGTGCAGTGGCGCCATCATAGCTCAGTGTAACCTTGAACTCCTGGACGCACGCACACCGACCTCCTTAGCCTCCCCAGCAGCTGGGACTGCAGGTGCGCCCCACCATACCCAGCTAATTTTCATTTTTTGTACAGATAGAAAATGTTGCCTAGGCTGGTCTCAAACTCCTGACCGCAGGTGACCCACCCCACTCGGCCTCCCAAAGTGTTGGGATTACGGGCGTGAGCCACTGTACCTGGCCTATACTATATACTTCTGTTGTTTATCTGAAAATGAAATGTAACCAGATGTGATCCTATCTCACTGCAATCAGGGCTCACTGCAGCCTCAATCTCCCGGGCTTAAGTGATCCTCTGGCCTCAGCCTCCTGTACAACTGAGACCATGGATCCATAGTGCCATACCCAGCTAATTTTCTTGTTTTTTTTTTTTTTTTTTTTTTGGTAGAGATGGGGTCTCACCATGTTGCCCCAGCTGGTCTCAAACTCCCGGGATCAAATGATCCTCCCACCTCAGTCTCCCACAGTTCTGTGATTACAGGCATGAGCCACACGCCCAGCCTAACCAATTTTTAATAAGGACCTCAACTCATGCCTAACACCTGAAAAAAATCAATGAAATATGCTGACAGGAGAATGAGAAGACACAGGCTGAGAAATGATATTTGCAAATCACAATGTCCGACAGTGTTTTCTTCCATGTTAGTGTCGATTTTAGGGTCATTTTCCTGATGGCTACTAATGTTTGGCCACTTCTTGTGTGTGCCTGTTAACCATCAGGGTGCCGTCTTTTGGAATGTGCCTGTTAAAAATCTTTGCTTTTGTTTAAAAATGGGTTGTTTACGCTGGGTGCAGTGGCTCCTGTAATCCCAGCACTTTGGGAGGCTGAGGTGGGTAGATACTTGAGTCCAGGAGTTTGAGACCAGCCTGGCCAACATGGCGAAAACCCGTCTCTACTAAAAATGCAAAATAAGTTAGCTGGGCGTTATTGTGTGCCTGTAGTCCCATCTCCTCAGGAGGCTGAGGCAGGAGAATCACCTGAACCTCACTGAGGCAGAGAACCTCAGTGCACTCTAGCCTGGGTGACAGAGCAAGAGTCTGTCTCAAAAAAAAAAAAAAAAAAAAAAGTGCCGAAGCCTGTAATCCCAGCACTTTGGCAGGTGGATCACGAGGTCAAGAGATCGAGACCGTCCTGGTCAACATGGTGAAACCCCGTCTCTACTAAAAACAAAAAACACTAGCTGGGCGTGGTGGCACGTGCCTGTAATCCCAGCTACTCAGGAGGCTGAGGCAGGAGAATTGCCTGAACTCAGGAGGCGGAGGCTGCGGTGAGCCGAGATCGCGCCATTGCACTCCAGCCTGGGTAACGAGAGCGAAACTCCGTCTCAAAAAAAAAAAAAAATTGGGTTCTCTGTCGTTTGTCATTGTTTTAAAAGCGATCTTTGTAGACTCGATCTGCATGCTGGATCAGAGATGTGTGCTGCAAACATCCCTGCCCGCCCAGCTTTCTTTCCACTGTCTCGATGGTGGCAGACATCTTGGGGGCCAGCTCGGCCGGCTGCACCATAGCTAGATGCCAGCCCATGTGTGCCAGGTGCAGCCCCTTCCCCTACAGACCCCAAGACCTTGCCTGTGACTCTCCAGTGCCTGCCCCTGCTCGGAGCCCTCACTCCCCCTCAGTGCACCCCGTCGTGCCTCCATCTGGCCTGTGTCCTCCGTACCTTGGAGGTACGGGATCCTCAATTCCAGGCACCGCTGCTCCTCCAGGCCTCCCAGAAACAAAGACAAGAGGGTCGGCACGTGCAGCGCCCGGGGTCCCACACAGCGGTGCCGCCTCTCGAGCCTGGAACCCCCTCTCGTGACAGGACTGCAGAAAACGCCGCCCGGGTCATGTGTCACCCCGATGGGATGAAGTCCGCAAACTTCTCTCCGCTGCGCTTTGCAAGCGCTTTCTCTTCTGGCCGTTTGGAACCCGCCAGGGCCGGTCCTCTGCTTCCGGCTGCCTCCTCCGGACTGAATCTGCGGTCGGCGGGGCCGGGACCCCTGCCCAGGGTCCCAGGGGCGCCTGCCTGGCTTGGGGTCACGGCCGGAGGAGCCGCGGCCGAGGGAGGTGGTCGCGGGGCGGGGACCAGCGGCTGCTGCGGGCGGGGTCGGGCGCGGAGGGGGCGGAGGTTGGGGAGGCAGAGGTTGGGTCTTCCCGCCCGGGAAGGCGCTTTCCCAGAGGCCAGGTGGACCGGGCGGGCTGCGCGGGACGGCGCTGGCTCGATGCCCGCCCCCCATCCCTGTGGGGTTATCGGGGTGCAGACCCGCGCGTCCCCGCCGACCCCGCGTGACAACCACCTCGGTTAATTCCCGTCTCTCTGGGCCGTCGCATTCGTCCACCTGCGCGTCTTTCCCTGCGCGGAAGTCCAGGATGAGCCAATAGTGGGCGCGGGCGCACCGTGGAGCGCCGCAGGGACGCCCCCACTTCCCCCCGCGCCCCCAAGAGCCGGGCCGGGGGCGGGACCGGGGCCCGGCGGGGCGTGCCCGAGGGGAGGGACTCCCGGGCTGGCTGCCCGGCGTTGTCCGCGGCGCTCAGCGCCCGCCGAGGCGCGTGGGGCCGGCACGCCATGGGGAACCGCAGCGCCGCGGACGCGGGCGGGCTGCTGGCGGGGCCGGGCGCGGCGGCGCTGGTGGGGGGCGTGCTGCTCATCGGCGCGGTGCTCGCGGGGAACTCGCTCGTGTGCGTGAGCGTGGCCACCGAGCGCGCCCTGCAGACGCCCACCAACTCCTTCATCGTGAGCCTGGCGGCCGCCGACCTCCTGCTCGCCCTCCTGGTGCTGCCGCTCTTCGTCTACTCTGAGGTGAGCCGCGCCCGCGCCCGCGCCCTGGTTCCCGGTCCCTGTCCCCGCGGAGGACCCGGCGCGACTCGGCCCCTTTCTGCTCCGGAGCTTGCAGCCCGGGCGGCGTTCCGCCGGTTCCCACCGCCCCCTCGCGCCCTCCCACCCGCTGCGTGTCCGCCCCGGACCCTCGTTCCACTCCTCCCTCCGCCTCTCTCTTGGCGTCTGCTACCCAGGAGATGCCCCTGTCCTTCGATCCAGGGACCCCAGAAACAGACGACTTTGTCAAGCCCAGCCCCCTCCATGGCGGGATTTCACCCCCAGGGAAACCAGCTGGACAGACAGGCTCAGCCCCCTGGATGCCCTGGGACACACACACACAGACACACCGCACACACACACTGCGAGCGCGCGCGCGCACACACACACACACACACTGCAAACACTACACACACACTGCAAACACTACACACACTGCACACACACACACTGCAAACACTCCACACTGCACACACACACTGCAAACACACTACACACAGGCACACCGAACACACACTGCAAACACACTCCACACACTGTGCACACTGCACACACACACTACACTGCACACACACACTGCACTCGGCCACAGCCACTGCCCACCATGCGCACCCAGTCCAGGCACTTGCACACCCCCAGAAGGAGGCTCCGCTTGCAGGGGAGCAGGGGAGGCCTGGGCTGGACAGAATCCAGGGGAGGAGAGGGTGTGTAGGGGCCAGGACGCTGCTGAGAACCCTGGGGGGGTGAGAGGGAATTACGGGATGGAGCCCACACCCCACACTGGGTCTGGCCATGGAGTGGGTCGGCCTTGGTGCCAGCCCCTCTGCTGCCAGAGAAAAGCAGCTTAGGGCTGAGCTGGGGACATGGTGTCCTGGACTATGGGGGATGGGGGCTGGGGTTTCCCCTTGGTGGCCACGGTGAGTCCTGGCGGCTGGGGCAGGGACCAGCAGCGCTGGACACGCATGACCTGTGCTCCTTTCGAGCCACAGACGTCACAGTGACGATGCTTAAGCTCCTAATCTTCCCAAATCGGCGGGAAGGGATTAGGGGGACTGCCTGCTCCTTTGCCCTTGGAGAGTAACTCCGTATGGAGTCCCACGCTGGGCACTGGGCAAGGTCGTCACATTTTTTGAACTAATTTATCTTTAAGAAAATCGCCATGTGGATACTGCCATCACCCTTGTTACAGATGAGGACACAAATGAAGTAACGACCCGAGCCTCCCACACTGAGCTTCACCAGACAGTCTGGCTCCGGCTCTGAGGGACAGAGCAGCCAGCTTCATGTTGCAGGTCCAGCGGGGACCCTGCCTATCCCAGGCTGGGCAGAGGGCTCTCCTTGAGCCCCATGACATCAGGCCCCGCCCCCAGGGTCTTCCCCAGGCCTGTCTCATGTTTGTAGCAAAAGGGAGACCAAGTCCAGAAGAGTGACTCACGCCTGTAATCCCAGCACTTTGGGAGGCCAAGGCAGGAGGAGGATCACTCCAGCCCAGGAGTTTGAGATCAGCCTGGGAAACATACCAGACCTCATCTCTACAAAAAATTAAACATTAGGCAGGGCGCAGCGGCTCATACCTGTAATCCCAGCACTTTGTGAGGCTGAGGCGGGTGGATCAGGAGGTCAGGAGTTTGAGACCAGCCTGGCCAACATGGTGAATCCCCGTAGCTACTAAAAGTACAACAGTTAGTTGAGGGGGGAGTGGTGTACACCTGTAGTCCCAGCTACTCTGGATACTGAGGTGGGAGGGTCACTTGACCCCAGAGTTCCAGGCTACAGTGAGTCACTGCACTCCAGCCTGGGTGACAGAATGAGACCCCCGACTGAAAAAAAAAAAAAAAGGGGGTGACGTGAGTGGGGGAGGTGGTGTTTCTCTGCCCCCTCCTCTGGCCTCTGGCTCACAGCCGGGCCCTCTTCTCAATATTCAGTCCTGGAACTATCCATAAGAGCGAGGGTGACAAGGGCCCGGTGGTGGCTGTGAGGGTCCCTGGCCGCGCAGTGGCGGGAAACCTCAGGTCTCGTGTAGCTGCGCCCTCGGTGTCCCGTGCAGGTCCAGGGCGGCGCGTGGCTGCTGAGCCCCCGCCTGTGCGACGCTCTCATGGCCATGGACGTCATGCTGTGCACCGCTTCCATCTTCAACCTGTGCGCCATCAGCGTGGACAGGTGCGCTGCCCTCCCCGCCCGCGCCCCCGCACCCCCCGCACCCCTCCCGCCGCCGCCGCCCTCACCGCGGCCTTCGCGCTATCCCGCGCCCGCTTGGCGCTCCCCGCAGGTTCGTGGCCGTGGCCGTGCCGCTGCGCTACAACCGCCAGGGCGGGAGCCGCCGGCAGCTGCTGCTCATCGGCGCCACGTGGCTGCTGTCCGCGGCGGTGGCGGCGCCCGTGCTGTGCGGCCTCAACGACGTGCGCGGCCGCGACCCCGCCGTGTGCCGCCTGGAGGATCGCGACTACGTGGTCTACTCGTCCGTGTGCTCCTTCTTCCTGCCCTGCCCGCTCATGCTGCTGCTCTACTGGGCCACGTTCCGCGGCCTGCGGCGCTGGGAGGTGGCCCGTCGCGCCAAGCTGCACCGCCGCGCGCCCCGCCGGCCCAGCGGCCCCGGCCCGCCTTACCCCGCCCCCGGCCTCCCCGAGGACCCCTGCGGCCCCGACTGCGCGCCCCCCGCCCCCGGCCTCCCCCAGGGCCCCTGCGGCCCCGACTGCGCGCCCCCCGCCCCCGGCCTCCCCCAGGGCTCCTGCGGCCCCGACTGCGCGCCCCCCGCCCCCGGCCTCCCCCAGGGCTCCTGCGGCCCCGACTGCGCGCCCCCCGCCCCCGGCCTCCCCCAGGACCCGTGCGGCCCCACCTATGCGCCCTATGACACCGTCCAAGCCACCGCGCTCCCACCCCAGACCCCGCCGCAGACCCGCAGGAGGAGGCGTGCCAAGATCACCGGCCGGGAGCGCAAGGCCATGAGGGTCCTGCCGGTGGTGGTCGGTGGGTTCCCCTTTTGGGGGACGGGGGAAAGGAGGGGAGGAGTACGGGACACAGAGGGCGGGGTGGGGGGGCGCTGACGCGGCTCTCGGCGCCCCCAGGGGCCTTCCTGCTGTGCTGGACGCCCTTCTTCGTGGTGCACATCACGCAGGCGCTGTGTCCCGCCTGCTCCGTGCCCCCACGGCTGGTCAGCGCCGTCACCTGGCTGGGCTACGTCAACAGCGCCCTCAACCCCGTCATCTACACCGTCTTCAACGCCGAGTTCCGCAATGTCTTCCGCAAGGCCCTGCACGCCTGCTGCTGGGCGCCACGCCCCAGGGACCAAGGAGATGGGAGGGCGGTTTTGTACGTTAATTAAACAAATTCCTTCCCAAACTCAGCTGCGAAGGTTCCTGGGGGTTTGAGGGGAACAGGGGAGGAGGGGCTTCTGCCTCAGTTGCCCCAGACCCTCCAGCCACTTAACCCCTTCCTTCCCACCAAGGAGGCCCACAGAGCAGATCCCCCACCCTCAGGCCCACTCAGTTTGCAGCGCCCTGGCCCAGCCTCCCTGCTATGCAGGGGAGAGGAGGGAGGGCAGACGAAATAGCGTCCAGGAAGGCAGCATGTCTCCTGGGCAGCCCAGTCCCAATGGGAAGCAATCAGCCACCAGGCCCTGCCCAGACCACCTCCCACCTCATCGGACCAGGCACAGGGGGCTCCAGACTGTGTCCTACAGAACCTGGCAGGGGTGCTCAACCCATCATTTTAGAAGCTGCCTTGAGGCCGGGGCACAGCTTCCTGCCAGTCCCCGGGCGAGGATGCCCCAAGCCCCACAGGAAGGGGCCTGTGGTGCTGGGTGGGGCCCCACCAAGGAGCTTCCCTGGAGGGGGCTCCATGCTCAGTCACCCTGGTGCCAGCCCACCGTGGGGCCACGCGATGGGAGCAGGGAGGAGTCAGCGGGGCGAGGGTGGGCAGAGCAGAGCCAGGGGTGGGTAGAGCCACCCAAGCTTCCTGTCTGCATCGGACTGCCTGGCTCCCTCAACCATAGCACAGCCCCGGACCCTGGGAGAGGAGGGGCGGCTCCCAGGGGCCTCCATGCAGGAACAGCCCACCCTGGACTGGATCCAGCTCCCTCCCAGGCCCAGGTTGTGGGAGAAAAGGGGGGCCCTCCGCCTCCTAGTCCTGCTGGCTGGACCTTCCCTGTGCCGGGGATGCAGCGTCTGAGCCCGGGCAGCCAGCCAGGTGCTGAGCTCCCATGGGAACATTGAGAGACTCCAGGCTGCACAGTCTACAGGACAAGGCACAACCTCAGCTTGCTAACCAGTCAGTGCAGGCTGCATGCGGTGGTCACGCCTGTAATCACAGCTACTCGGGAGGCTGAGGCGGAAGGATCCCTTGAGGCTGGGAGGTTGAAGCTGCAGTGAGCCGAGATTGCACCACTGCACTCCAGCCTGGGTGACAGAGCAAGACCCTGTCTCAGAAAAGAAAAGAAATACTGGGTGGAGAGAGGGCCATGTCCGGTTACTGCTGAGGTGCGGCTGCCCCATCCCGTCTGGTGACCACGCACTCCTGTCATAGCCTCTGCTGCCTCCAGGACACCTCCCCTGACTACCAACTTCCCAGGAATAGCCCATCCCAGGTCACCCCTGGAGCAGACTGAATCACAATGGATTCTGGTCTGACACCCATGAGTAAAGGAGGGGCTCCCTCCCGCTTTGCCCCAGGACTCAAGTCCCCAAAGGTGCCTCACTGACAGCGCTGGAGGCCATGGGAGGTGTGGCGTGCACCTGAGGATCCTGGGGGTGCTGACACCCTGGGGCAGGGCGACCTCTGATCTCAGCCTCCCAGGCTTGAAAAGGAGCTGTGGAAACCTGGGATCCCGACAGATGTGTGGTGCCGCGCCTTCCATTCTATGGAAAATCGGGGAAGAGTAAGTTGCCTCACAATTCCAGGGAATACCCGCTTTCCATTCCTGCAGGGGCCGGTTGGTTGCAGGAGGCCAGGGGCTTTCCTGCTGGTGGTGGTCACCGTGCCAAGGGCTCCCACGGTGCCTCCCCAGCAGGCGGGGCACAGGCTCTTTTCTGCAGGCGTGCTCTGCACAGCAGCGATGCTGGCGTTTTCAGCTTTGGGGGATTCTTCGTAAGGGGTGCAGGCCCTCACTTCCCTGCCACCTTTATGTTGGCTAAACCCAAGGGAGCAGGCCCAGCTCTGCTGCCTGGCCTTGCCTGCCTGGCCAGGGCCAAGTTCACGGTGAAGCTTCGGAGATGCCTCCCACGGTAGCCATGGCAGACCCTGCGGGGTTGGATGAAAACCCACTCAATGTAGTGTCTCAGAGGAAGGGCTAGGTGGGTGAGGCGAGGCAGGAGGGGCAGCGTCTGGGGTGCATCCCGCAGTGGGCGAGAGCCCTTCCCAGCCCGCACTGCTCACCTGAAGCATCAGCAGGGACGTGGCCTGGTTGGGCAGAGGCTTTACTAAGTCAAGAGGCCAGGCTCAGCAGCTCACGCCAGGAATCCCAGCACTTTGGGAGGCCAAGGTGGGTGGATCACCTGAGGTCAGGAGTTACAGACCATCCTGGCCAACATGGCGGAAACCCCGTCTCTACTAAAAATACAAAAATTAGCTGGGTGTGGTGGCGCGTGCCTGTAATCCCAGCTACTTGGGAGGCTGAGGCAGGAGAATCACTTGAACCTGGGAGTTGGAGGTTATAGTGAGCTGAGATTGCACCACTGCACTCCAGCCCGGGTGACAGAGTGAGACTCAAGTCTCAAAAAAAAAGAGAATAAGAAAAAAAAATCAGAATAAACCAAGTGGTCCTGAGACTCCCACAGACTCAAAAGACGGGGCCTCTGTGGAGCCACAGCTGGTGAGCCTCTCCCTGAGCACAGCGCCTTCCAGGGGCTCATGCCCAGCTGGGGCAGAAAGCGCTTCAGAAAAGAGCATCAGAACCGCTGGCGCATGCCTCCTGGCGCTGCTGGCCCACCCCAGTGCCCGCTGAGCTGCTGCTGGATCTGCACTTGCCCCAGGGCAGCCACAGCTGTGGAGCCTTCTGCGTGCAGAGAACACAGGCCATGAGGGAAGAGGCTTCCAGAATAAGAGTAATGCTGCTCCAGCAGCACTCGTGGTCGCAGGGCAGGTGGGTCCCCTGTCCAGGCCCAGCCCAGCACCCAAGCATGCAAGATGCACCCCCTGATGCCCCCGGAAGGCTTCAGCCCCTTCTCTCTCCTCCGCCTGGTACCAGGGCCATGAGAAACAAGGAGACCAGGAGGACATGAGGCTGTGCGTGTGGAGGCTTGACAGAGGCCACCGAGCCATCCACGTGATGAGGCTGAGGCCCGACGGAGGCCACCGCGCCATCCACGTGATGAGGCTGAGGCCTGACGGAGGCCACCGTGCCGTCCACGTGATGAGGCTGTGCACAGTGTGGAGGCCTGACGGAGGCCACCGAACCATCCACGTGATGAGGCTGTGTGTGTAGAGGCCTGACAGAGGCCACCGCGCCGTCCACGTGATGAGGCTGTGCGTGTGGAGGCCTAACGGAGGCCACCGTGCCGTCCATGTGATGAGGCTGTGCGTGTGGAGGCCTGACAGAGGCCACCGTGCCGTCCACGTGATGAGGCTGTGCGTGTGGAGGCCTGACGGAGGCCACTGAGGTATCCACATGTGCTAAACAGGCTACGCTGAGTCCTTGGGCTCACTCAGGCAGCCTGGGCACAGGAGGGCACCATGTGCCCGAAGCCTGGCGTGATGCTCCCAGCAGCTGCGATGTTCTTGTGGAACAGAAGGAATGAAGACTCCCCTGGACTACACGTGCCCGCCACTGGACACCACGCTTTAGCCGGTCACACTTCCCCATGCACTGGAGGTGTGGTGGACTTGGGCTTCCCACCTGCATGGGCAGGAGGAAGGGAACCCTCCCGGAGGGCTGGCACTGAAACTGGCCGTCTGCGTGGGGAAGGGAGGCCTTATTTACACTTTATTGACAGACACACACGTATGTACATGCGTCGCAGCGCGGGCCCCACGGGCAAGACTGGACGCTCATGATCCTGGGGCTAGAAGTCTCTCCTCGAGCGGGCAGGGGCCCAGGCGGGAGGAGTCTGCTGCCCAGGGCACCATTACTTAAAGTTTCTTAATAACTCGTCCAGCAAGTTTCTTCACCTTCCCACACCCCTCTGCTCAACATCCCCCGAAAGTCCTTGGGGGGCCTTCGACCTGCAGAAACCTCGCAGGAGCGTAAGGGGACCCAGCGCACAGGGCGGCGGGGGGAGCCTCACACGGTCACCTTCTCCATCACGCTTTCGGCCACGTGGACTTCGTCTGCCTGCACCGTGACAGCTGCTGACTGGCCACACATGTGCTGGTGATCTTTCCAGTCCTGGAAGGGAGGGCACAACCACGTCAGCACGGTCAGGGGGTGGAGCAGGGCCGTGAGGCGGGACCTGGGCAGGGTTCCCCACCCTAGAGGCTGCAGCCATGTGTCAGCTCACACGGTGGTGCTGAGAGAACACCCTCCCCAGCCCCCGTGCACCTGCACTCATGGCCTCTGCTCCAGTCCTGCCTCCCCACACTCTTGGTTTGAGGAATTGGATCAAAAAGCAAGCAAAAGGTTTGGCACGGTGCCTCATGCCAGTAATCCCAGCACTGTGGGAGGCCAAGGCGGGCGGATCACCTGAGGTCAGGAGTTTGAGACCAGCCTGGCTGACATGGCGAAACCCCATCTCTACTAAAATTACAAAAATTAGTCAGGCATGGTGGCAGGCACCTGTAATCCTAGCTACTTGGGAGGCTGAGGCAGGAGAACCCTTTGAACCCGGGCAGCAGAGATTGTAGCGAGCCGAGAGGCTGTACTTCAGCTGGGGTGACAGAGCGAGACTCCATATTAAAAAAAAAAAAAAAGGCAAGGCCGGGTGTGGTGGCTCAAGCCTGTAATCTCAGTACTTTGGGAGGCCGAGGCGGGTGGATCAGGAGGTCAAGAGATCGAGACCAACCTGGTCAACATGGTGAAACCCCGTCTCTACTAAAAATACAAAAATTAGCTGGGCATGGTGGCGCGTGCCTGTAATCCCAGCTACTCGGGAGGCTGAGGCAGGAGAATTGCCTGAACCCAGGAGGCGGAGGTTGCGGTGAGCCGAGATCGCGCCATTGCACTCCAGCCTGGGTAACAAGAGCGAAACTCCGTCTCAAAAAAAAAAAAAAAAAGGCAAACAACAAACCAGGGTACGACTCTGCAAACCAGTTGTTTTGTGTTAGGGATGTAACAAAAAATATCACACATGCAGGAAAACATTTGCATATGTAAATATTACATATGTAAATTTCAATCCAGCTCTGTTTTTGTTTTGTTTTTTGAGATGGAGTTTCCCTCTTCTCTCCCAGGCTGGAGGGCAGTGGTGCAATCTCAGCCCACCGCAACCTCCACCTCTGGGGCTCAAGCGATTCTCCTGCCTCAGCCTCCTGAGTGGATTACAGGCACCCGCCACCACACCCAGCTAATTTTTATATTTTTAGTAGAGATGGGGGTTTCACCGTGTCGGTCAGGCTGGTCTCGAACTCCTGACCCCAGGTGATCTGCCCGCCTCGGCCTCCCACAGTGCTGGGATGACAGGCGTGAGGCGCCGCGCCTGGCTCCAGTTGTTTCTAATGGCGCAGATGAAAAGCAAAGTGGAACCAGCCTGTGGCTGCAGAAGGGCTTGTGGTTGTGGCTCTGCAGAAAGAAAAGTAGGGGATGGTGCTTGGCAGAAGCCGGGGATTGCGGCCGCTCCTGTGAGGTCAGCATGGAGCCAGGCCCCCACTGCTGCCACATGGAGTGCCCCGAGTGCCTTGGCACAGAGCCGGGCTCTTGAGGAAGCGCCAGGTGCTGACGTGCGGCAGCCTCGTCAGACGGAGGGAGGCGGCCCTGTGCACGGGGGCATGACAAGTGCGATATAACATGCAGAACAGAAATAAGCACATCCAAATGGTGACAGGTATTCTCTGGACGCAGGATTCCTGATGATTATAATAAAAAGGCAAAATTAGGCCAGGTGCGGTGGCTCACGCCTATAATCCTAGCATGATGGGAGGTCAAGGTGGGTGGATCACCTGAGGCCAGAAGCTCGAGATCAGTCTGCCCAACATGGCAAAATCCCGTCTCTACTACAAATACAAAAACTAGCTGGATGTGGTGTGCACCTGTAGTCCCAGCTACACAGGAGGCTGAGGCATGAGAATCGTTTGAACCAGGGAGGCGGAGGTTACAATGAGCTGAGATCCTGCCACTGCACTGCAGCCTAGGCGACTGAGTGAAATTCCATTTAAAAAAAAAAAAACAGCCGGGCGCGGTGGCTCAAGCCTGTAATCCCAGCACTTTGGGAGGCCAAGGCGGGTGGATCACGAGGTCGAGAGATCGAGACCATCCTGGTCAACATGGTGAAACCCCGTCTCTACTAAAAATACAAAAAAAATTAGCTGGGCATGGTGGCATGTGCCTGTAATCCCAGCTACTCAGGAGGCTGAGGCAGGAGAATTGCCTAAACCCAGGAGGCGGAGGTTGCGGTGAGCCGAGATCACGCCATTGCACTCCAGCCTGGGTAACAAGAGCGAAACTCTGTCTCGGAAAAAAACAAAACAAAACAAATGACATGAACATAGACTGTAGGTCTACAAAGCATGAGAGCAACAGTGGCAAAGTGCCGCGGCTGGTGTAGACCACTGCCCGCCCTCCTGCCTCCATTCGGGGTGGCCAGGAGCGCTTCCGGCTCCTGCCCAGATTGTGTGGGGCGGGGGGACTGCACCCTTCATGGGAGCGGCCACCACTGAGAGGACGTGGGCCCCAGACGAGGCCCCAGGAGTTCCAGATGCTCCCTTCTCTGGTCTACGGGTTGAGCCACTCCCCGGGGCCTGTGCAGCTAGAGGGAGGCAGGTTGCACATCTGTCGACTGAGCTACAGAAGCTCCCATCGAGTTCTTCACCGAGGCTGACTTTTAAAGTCAGAACTACTGGTTCTTTTTAAAGCCAACTTTTCCGTGTTAAACATCACTGTGATTCTTCCTGCAGTATAATGTTAAAATATTTTGGAAAAAAATCACTATCTGAAAAGCCAGCATTAGAAATTAGTGTCTTAGTTTTTGAAAAATAGAAAAAAACAGTTAAATTCACAAGACGCGAACAGTAAAAGTGCCTGAAGCAAACAAATGACAATCCCAGAATCACAGACTTTAAAAATGGTGCCTCGGGAGGCTGAGGTGGAGGGCACGCAGCTTGAGCAACACAGCAAGGCCCTGTTTTTTTTTTTTTTTTTGAGACAGAGTTTCGCTCTTGTTACCCAGGCTGGAGTGCAATGGCGCGATCTCGGCTCACCGCAACCTCCGCCTCCTGGGTTCAGGCAATTCTCCTGCCTCAGCCTCCTGAGTAGCTGGGATTACAGGCACGCGCCACCATGCCCAGCTAGTTTTTTGTATATTTAGTAGAGACGGGGTTTCACCATGTTGACCAGGATGGTCTCGATCTCTCGACCTTGTGATCCACCCGCCTCGGCCTCCCAAAGTGCTGGGATTACAGGCTTGAGCCACCGCGCCCGGCCTGCCCTGTCTTTATTTTATTTATTTATTTATTTATTTTTGAGACGGAGTTTCGCTCTTGTTACCCAGGCTGGAATGCAATGGCACGATCTCGGCTCACCGCAACCTCCGCCTCCTGGGTTCAGGCAATTCTCCTGCCTCAGCCTCCTGAGTAGCTGGGATTACAGGCGCGCGCCACCATGCCCAGCTAATGTTTTGTATTTTTTTTTTAGTAGAGACGGGGTTTCACCATGTTCACCAGGATGGTCTCGATCTCTCGACCTCGTGATTCACCCGCCTCAGCCTCCCAAAGTGCTGGGATTACAGGCTTGAGCTACCGCGCCCGGCCCTGTCTTTATTTTTTTTTTTAATGTTTTAAAATTAGCTGGGTGTGGTGGCTCATGCCTGTGGTCTAAGCTACTCGGGAGACTGAGGCAGGGGGTCAAGGCTGCGGTGAGCTGTGATGGCACCGATGGACTCCAGCCTGGGTGACAGTGCAAGACCCTGTCTACAAAAAAACCTAAAATAAATAATGAAATAAAAACTGACCTAAAATCCAATTAAGAAACAATCCAAATCTGATTTACGGTGATCCAGGCCTCAGATGAAAATCATGATGTGTGGGGCTTGCTTTCAAATGCTCAGGCCTCACCCCAAAGGCAGCGAGAGCCCTGTCCCGCTTGCCGCTGCACCCGTGGGGGCGGTGGGACCTCAGACTGCTCATCTCTGAGGCCCAGCGTCTCACCCTCCCCAACAGCAGTCCTCTCAAAGCGAGGCTCGGTGGCTCGCACCTGTAATCTCAGCAGTCTGGGAGATTGCGGCAGGTGGATCCCTTGAGCCCAGGAGTGCAAGACCACCCTGGCTAACGTGGCAAAACCCCATCTCTACTAAAAATACAAAAATTAGCCGGCATGGTGGTGCATGCCTATAATCCCCACTGCCAGGGAGGATGAGGCAGGAGGATCCCTTGAACCAAGGAGGTGGGGGCTGCAGTGAGCTGAGATGGCACCCCTGCACCCCAACCTGGGCAACAGAGCAATACTCCATCTCAAAAAATAAAATAAAAATAAATACATAAATAAATAAACCAGACTATCCTTTACAAAACTATTCTATAAGAAAATGAGAGGCTGGGCAGCCAGGCACGGTGGCTCACACCTGTAATCCCAGCAGTTTGGGTGGTTGAGGCAGGCATATCATGAGGTCAAGAGATCAAGACCACCCTGGCCAACATGGCAAAACCCCATCTCTACTAAAAATACAAAAATTAGCTGGCATGGTGGTATATGGCTGTAATCCCAGCTGCTAGGGAGGCTGAGGCAGGAGGATCGCTTGAACCCAGGAGGCGGAGGCTGCAGTGAGCTGAGATGGCACCCCTGCACTCCAACCTGGGCAACAGAGCAAGACTCCATCTCAAAAAATAAAATAAAAATAAATAAATACAATTATTCTTTACAAAATTATTCTATAAGAGAATATGAGGCTGGGCAGCTGGGTGCAGTGGCTCACACCTGTAATCCCAGCACTTTGGGAGGCTGAGGCAGGTGGATCATGAGGTCAGGAGTTTGAGACCATTCTGGCCAATACGGTGAAACCCCGTCTCTACTAAAAATACAAAAATTAGCCAGGCATGGTGGTGCACAGCTGTAGTCCCAGTTACTTGGGAGGCTGAGGCAGAAGAATCTCTTGAACCCAGGAGGCAGATCGTGCCATTGCACTCCAGGCTGGGTGACAGAGCAAGACTCAGTTTCAAAAAAAAGAGAATGAGAGGCTAGGAATGGTGGTTCACACCTGTAATCCCAGCACTTTGGGAGGCAAAGGCAGATGGATCATCTGAAGTCAGGAGTTCGAGACCAACCTGGCCAACGTGGTGAAACTCCATCTCTACTAAAAATAGCAAAAAAAAAAAAAAAAAAAAAAAAAAAAAAATTAGGCATGGTGATGGGCACCTGTAATACCAGCTACTTGGGAAGTTGAGGCAGGAGAATCATTTTAGCTCAGGAGGCGGAGGTTGCAGTGAGCTGAGATCATGCCACTGCGTTCCAGCTTGGGCGACAGAGCCAGACCCCGTCTCAAAAAAAAAAAAAAAAAAAAAAAAATTACAGTGACTACAGCCTGGCACGGTGGCTCACGGCTGTTATCGCAGCAGAGGCTGAGGCAGGCGGATCAGCTGAGGTCAGGAGTTTGAGACCAGCCTGGCCAACGTGATGAAACTCCACCTCTACTAAAAATACAAAAATTAGCCAGGTGTGGTGGTAGCCCCTGTAATCACAGGTATTTGGGAGACTGAGGCATGAGAATCACTTGGACTCAGGAGGCAGATGTTACAGTGAGCTGAGATTGTGCCACTGTACTCCAACCTGGACAGCAAAGCAAAGCTCCATCTCAAAAAAAAAAAAAAAAAAAAAAAAAAAAAGCGACGAAATGCGCCCAAGCACTCTGATTACGGTAGAAAAAGTAATACAGTCCTGAAATTCCATTTACTGCCTACAAAAATTCTCTTTCTGTGGAGTGGATGGCTGAATAACAGAAACAGGAACTGTGGACAGTCTTTCTCAAGTGGCTCTGCAATGGGTGTGGAGGCTAGAGAGCACTGACCAGCAGCCCTCAGGGTACCCGGCCACCGCCTGCAGCCCTCAGGGTACCCGGCCACCGCCTGCAGCCCTCAGGGTACCCGGCCACCGCCTGCAGCCCTCAGGGTACCCGGCCACCGCCTGCAGCCCTCAGGGTACCCGGCCACCGCCTATAGCCCTCAGGGTACCCGGCCACCACAGATGGGGCCTCACATGAGAGCACTGCCCAGCTGTGACACATGCCAGCCTCCTGCCGGGTCTTCCCGGAGCCAGACAGGAGCCCCAGACTCCAGGAGGGAGGGAGGGAGGAGGGAAGTCAAGTGTGGTCCAAGGCAGCAGGAGCACAAGGGGAGGGAGAGCCACCCAGGGGTCTACCCTGCAAAGGAGGAGGCAGGGCATGAGCTCGGTGCAGGTGACACCTACCTTGCGCTGGCAGAAGGTGGAGCAGTAGTTGACCTTGTGGCAGCCAGTGCACTCGCTCATGGCCTCCCGGCCGCAGTTAACACAGGATTGCTGCAAGGACACAGGAGGCTGGTCAGTGACGTGGCCATGGAGAGCCCAAGATGCCGGGAACAGAGGCAGGTGCAGGCCGGCGGCCCGAGGTCTCCCCACCAGACTCGGACTGCACCCCACCCCAGTGCTGCTCAGAACGTTCTTGTCACCTCCAGAATCAGCTCTTTCTGGCCTAAGTGCAGTTTGCCCCTTACATTCATGCATGGGAAAATCAGCATGGCCCGGGCGTGGTGGCTCACTCCTGTAATCCCAGCACCGTGGGAGGCTGACATGGGCAGATCACCTGAGGTCAGGAGCCAGAGACCAGCCTGGACAACATCTCGAAACCTCATCTCTACTAAAATTAGGATAATTAGCCGGGCATGGCAGTGTGCGCCTGGCATCCCAGCTACTCGAGAGGCTGAGGCAGAAGAATCGCTCACACCTGGAGGCAGAGGTTTCAGGGAGCCAAGATCGCACCACCGCACTCCAGCCTGGGCGACAGAGGGAGACTCTGTCTCAAAACAAAAGGAAAATCAGCATGGAAATCTTTCTCCAAACTCCAAGGAGCTTCACTCCAGCCCGGCCAGCACAGAAAAATCAAACTCAGGAGTCCACCACTACCAACACCCCGAGCAGGCTGGGGGCATCAGCCTGGGCATACCGTGGCAGCCACGTGTCCCAAACTGCCCCCGTGGCACCACAGCCGACACCCCACCCCCGCCCCACACCCAGCCGGTTTCTGTGGTTGATTGAAAAGATGACAGCAGCGTTTGTGTACTTTCTCCTTAAATTACGTTTTTGGAGTTTTTTTGTTTTGTTTTGTTTTGTTTTGTTTTTGCGACGGAGTCTCGCTCTATCGCCAGGCTCGAGTGCAATGGTGCGATCCTGGCTCACTACAACTTCCGTTTTCTGGTTTGACGCTGGAGCGACAGAGCGAGGCTCCATATCAAAAAAAAAAAAAAAAAAAAAAAAAAGGCAAACAACAAACCAGGGTACGACTCTGCAAACCAGTTGTTTTGTGTTAGGGATGTAACAAAAAATATCACACATGCAGGAAAACATTTGCATACGTAAATATTACATATGTAAATTTCAATCCAGCTCTGTTTTTGTTTTGTTTTTTGAGATGGAGTTTCCCTCTTCTCGCCCAGGCTGGAGGGCAGTGGCGCGATCTCAGCCCACTACAACCTCCACCTCTGGGGCTCAAGCGATTCTCCTGCCTCAGCCTCCCGAGTAGCTGGGACTACAGGGTGCACCACCACACCCGGCTAATTTTTTGTATTTTTAGTAGAGACGGGGTTTCACCAAGTCGGCCAGGATGGTCTTGATCTCTTCACCTTGTGATCCACCCGCCTTGGTCTCCCAAAGTGCTGAGATTACAGGCGTGAGCCACCGCGCCCGGCCCTGAGGTTTTTCTTTGTAATCAGCACACAGGTCAATATGCTGTCAATAATTAATGTTTGCCACATGATGGACCGGGGTGCTCTCCGAGACAGAGGAACCACCGGGCCTAGGGAGAGCCCCTGGCGCTGAGACCCACACGCCCGGAACGTGCCCGGATCATCGCAGGCACTGCGGGAAGGGCTGGGGCCAGTGTGTGGGTGAGCCGCACAGGAAGCAACTCCAGCAGGGCCACACGCTCCCTGCGCACGTGTGGGTAGGACCTGCTCCGAGACTGTTCTGATGTGGCCTGCCGTCCTCGCAAGGGTCATCTTCCACATTTCTCCAGCTGTACGACATTCACAGCTCCAACAATTCAGCCACGTGCTTCAGAAAACAGGAGCATTAGGAGGAGTTTCTGCTAACTAACTTAGGTTGCCCCCTGCCTCTACTTCGGTATTTTTTGAGACAAAGTCTCTTTCTGGTCACCCAGGCTGGAGTGCAGTGGTGCGATCTCAGGTCACTGCAACCTCCACCTCTTGAGTTCAAGTGATTCTCGCGCCTCAGCCTCCCCAGTAGCTGGGACTATAGGCGTGCACCAGCATAACCAGCTAATTTTTTGGTATTTTCAGTAGAGATGGGGTTTCACCATATTGGTCAGGCTGGCCTCGAACTCCTGACCTCAAATGATCCACCTGAGTTGGCCTCCCAAAGTGCTGGGATTACAGGCCTGAGCCACCGTGCCCAGACTGTGCCTCTACTTTAAATGACAAAATGTTTTTCTTTTTTTTGAGACAGAGTCTCTCTCTGGTCACCCAGGCTGGAGTGGAGTGGTGTGACCTCAGCTCACCACAACCTGACTCCCTGGTTCAAGCGATTCTCCTGCCTCAGCCTCCCGAGTAGCTGAGATTACAGGCATGCACCACCACACCCAGCTACGGAAAGCCCGTCCCGGTGCAGCCTGGACCTGCCTCCTGGGCACCTCTTTGGCTCCAGCCAGGACTTTCAACCCCCTGGGCCTTTTGCAGTAGTACGCCCTTTGCAAAACCTTTTTGTTTTTTTAACTAAAAAAATATTTTTTTAGCAAGGAGCATGTGAGTCTGAATTAGTGAAGCATGAACTCATGTTCTCTTCACACACAGATACAGAAACGGGGCGAGATGTCCACATACACAGGTGATGCCCGTGTCCCTGCTCTGCAGCTGAGTGCCTCTGAGCGACACATCCCAGCAGCACCGGGCCCACCCGGCACCCAGGGCTCACTCTCTGCCTCTCCCATAAAAGGACTCGGGGCTCCGTGGAGGAGGGGCTGATTCCTAGGCCGGGGCAGGGAACACAGGAGGCGCCTGGAGTACCCTGCCGTGCCACGAAGCCACAACTTGCCCCAGATGAAAAGCCTATTGACGCATCAGGGGACACAGCAGCCGACTGCAGGAGCCCCCAGGGCCGAGGATGGACAGTGTGATTCACAAAACAAAGTAGGGTTGTGTTCTAGCTCAGAATTTAAAACATATGTAAAATAAGCCCATCCTGATACAAACAAATGATCAAATAAATAAACAGAAGTCCCCGCTATTCTGGATCCTCCCCTGTCTAGGAGGACGCCGGGCCGTGAACGTGCTCCCTGACTACATGTGGAAGAGGAGAAGCAGTCTCGTCACCAAGCAGCAGCCCCTGCTGGGAAGGTCAGAGCCGTCTGCAACGTCACTGGGCTGTCAGGGACGCCCATAGTGTGGTCAGAGACAGGCGACGCACCCCCCACTCCCCCACGAAACCTGCCATCCGCCCCCATGAGAAAGCACCAGACAAGCCTGGATGGAGGCACCTGCCCACCTCAGAACCACAGGGCACGGAAAACGAGGACTGACCAAGAGGCCGTCACAGACTGAGGGTGCTGGGCAGATGGTGTGCGGGAGCCGTGGGCGGCGGGGATGGGCCTGGAGCAGAAGCGGGATGTTGCTAGTGAGAGTCAAAGTCTGGAGTTCACGGTGACACCAGCACTGGCTTCTCAGCTACGGCCAAGTGCCCTGTGGACTCAGAAGCCACAGAAGGGAGGCGGCGGAGCAGCAGGAGGGGCCCTCAGTGCTCACTTTGCAACTTTTCTCTAAACTGAAATTATCCCGAAACACATTTATTTAATCTCAGCACTTGGGAGGCCAAGGCAGGCAGATCACCTGAGTTTGGGAGTTCGAGACCAGCCTGACCAACGTGCAGAAACCCCATCTCTACTAAAAACACAAAAATTAGCCGGGCGTTGTAGCACAGGCCTGTAATTCCAGCTACTCAGGAGGCTGAGGCAGGAGAATCGCTTGAACCCGAGAGGCGGAGGTTGCGGTGAGCCGAGATCATGCGCTGCACTCGGGCCTGGGCAACAAGAGCAAAACTCCGTCTCAAAAAAAAAAATAATGCATGACCACAGAAGAAGTGAGTGTGTGTTGCAGAAGGTTAGGACAAGTCACTGCGCATTTCTGCCGCCAAGGACGTCGGCGAGTCCCATTCTGTGCCGACAGGAAACTGTCAGGAATCACAGGACTGCAGATGGCGTGGAGGGCAGCAGTCCCCGGGCGGCTCTTGGCACAGGGGTTCCAGGCCTCCCTGGGCACCTGAGCAGCTCATGCTGCCAGAGCAGCTAGTATTGCCACTGGCATTCAGAGTTCTCTGGGCCACAGGCGGGCAGAGGAGCACCCTGCAGGGAGTCCTGCCCAAGCAGCGGGGCGGCCCTCAGCAGAGACTCCGAAGGGGTTCCCGGCCTGATGGGAACACACACTTAGCAACACAATAGCTGGTGTACTCTGGTCCAGGTGGAAAACAAGCCTGTGAATCACAAGAGCTGGTTTCATGATGACTGATTTTTACATTAGACAAATTACAGACAACTAACAAAGCCACTCCTTCAGAAACGGCCAACCAAGAGTAAGACCATGAGATCACTTATAAAGTGCCTATTAATTTTTTTACTATCAAAGAATGCATTAATAATGTATTCATTATTATTTCTGCAAATAAAATGGAGTCAATAACTTGAAAACCTAGATACCAGCCAGGTGTGGTGGCTCACACTGTAACCCCAGCACTTTGGGAGGCTGAGGCAGGAGGACCACTTGAGCCCAGAGTTTAAGGCCAGTCTGCGTGACATGGCAAGACCCTGTCTCTACAAAAACACAAATATTAGCTGGGCATGGGGGCATGTGCGTCTCAGCTACTAGAGACGCTGAGATGGGAGGACTGCTTGAGCCTGGGGCATGGAGGTTGCGGTGAGCCGAGATCGCACCACTGCACTCCAGCCCGGGGATACAGGGAGACCATATCTTAAACAATTAAACAAAGAGAAGGGAAACCTAGATATACCCAGGATGGAGCCGAGGCTGTGGCTGGAGGTAGCCTGGTGTCCAGGAAAACGTCATCTTTGAGAAGGAATTGCCCCTTTGCCTCTGATGTCTGAATTCCACAATTTTACAATAGCCAAAAGACACCTTAGACTACCCCGCATCCACCCCGCGTGGGGCTTCATTTTCAGGCCTTGGGAATGCCCAAAGCACCTGCCTGGCCTCACTCCTGCCTCAGGAACCCCCAAAGCACCTGCCTGGCCTTGCTCCTCGTCAGGAACGCCCAAGGAGCCCAGCTGGTCCCACTACCCC